GTTTATTCAAGTATGCTATTAGTATACTTCTTTTAAACCAAAAATAAGAGAGTAAACTTTAAATCTAATTTGTATGTACTTCCCAGAAATATACTTAATATAATATACTCATATACATAATATACTAAAATTGCACTTAAGTATACCTGACTGTCTGAAAAGTATAAGTATATTTGGCCTATATTTGTACTCAATCTTTTATTCAAGGTTCTTAAAAGTGTAATTAAATATTCTTGATATACTTGTCTTTATGTTTATTCTTTTGATTAAGTAGCCTATTACATACTTTTTTCACATAGTTTTACATACTGTCTTAAAACTTAAATATTAATTTATGAAGAAAACAGACATGTTCCTAATTCTGAATATATGAATTTTTGTGTAGGCTAGTCCATTGGTAGTGTGCATATTATAGACATTGACTTCAAATCTACTTTTCTCTTTCTCCGCCAATGACTGAATTTTCTGGCTATCTGTGTTTTCACTTTTTTATGATAGGGGGCACTATTACACATCTTCTGAAAAAAACAGAGGTGAAGAAACCTCATCTGGACATTGTCTGACATAATGTCACTTTCTCAGCTTTTTGTTTAAAATGTTGCTAAAAAAGGATGCATGAAGCTAGAATAAAATGTTTTTAACTGGAAAGTGGAAAGAGTTTACAATACAAAATACAATAAAGTACAGAGTTAAAAAGGTAGAATTAAAGGAACAGTATACTATACTTTTGCAAAAATAATTCATGAATAGTAAACTGTATGATGTTAACTTATTATATATATATATATATATATATATATATATATATATATATATATATATATATATATATATATATATATTCTTGTGTGTGTGTGTTAAAGACTGAAGGACGGTAATAAATGTTCAGAAGTAAGACCATATACAAAAAAGAACAGAATGAGAGAATTTCTCAAACATTCCACAGTATTTTTTAAGCAGTTTTAGTACATCTTTTAGTTACTATTTAAAAATTCTCTTTGTAATTTACTTTTTTCCCCCTTTACTTACATCAAATTGAAATACAGGAGTTCAAACAGCTGTGCCATATAAAATAATATTGTTGAGGCTGAAATTTAAAGTCTTACCTCCAGGCTAAACTCATACTCAAACATGGAATGAAAGAGTAAAATGTTTTTAATGTATATTTAACAACAAATACCCCAGTGACTATTGATGTGCTGTCTCTAAAGAATTTATCTTGCTTAAATTTCTGAGGCCATGCTGTTGTGAAACCATTCTGTATTCCCATCTCTCACTTTCTCTTACTATCTTCTTTTTTCCTCACTTTCTCTTATTCTCTAACTCTCTTAGTCTCTTTAAACATTTATCCTCTGTCTGTGCCTTAAAGGCCCTTTGTGCTTTGTGCTGTTGATTTTTACAGCTCTTAAAATCCAGAGTAACCATTTATCATTCATAGATCCTAGCAGGCTGGGGCAGACAAAGCCTTGCCTTGTGTCATCTCTAATTGTCATCAGAACAGCCATTGCTCCCTTGATGTTGCCTTATAAACTTCCATGGTAGCAAGGCAGAGTGCCACACTTTTTAAATCACATTCTGTGAAAAAATGCCAATGAACATTTATAGACAGTTTATAGATAGAACATGAAAAAATATGGCTGTTAATTTGCTTAATTTAAAAAGCTTATTCACATGAAGAAAATACCAGTAATATAGCAATATATAACAGTTGATGTTCAGTTTTTTTTAAATTTGAGTGGGGTTTAGGAACCACAGTAATATAATGTAAGGATACATACATCAGAGTCAAGTAATGCAGGTATGAGAATGAGGGAACAGAAACAAAATCACATATTTTATGTATCAAAGTTACAAGTCTGACCACAACACTAAAAGATCCTGCCAAGATTCCATTCCCAGAATCCCTTGCCATGTCCCAGTGTCTGGCAGTGGGCAATTGTGCAAAGCTCAAACTGTTTTATTTTTCAGTGGTTAATAATACCATTACTTAGAATGCTGGCCGAAGAACAAGCTCCTTGGAAGTGGTGCTTATTTCTCCTCCTGGAGCAATACTACTCTGAAGATGGAAACTTCCCACAACCCATGGACCGGCTCTGCAAAATAAATAAATAAATAAATAAATGTAAAATAAAACAAAGGTCAGTTTAGGATATGTTGAGATTTACATCGTTTCATACTTGTGTGCCTGAAGACAAACTGTATGTAAGTTAAACATATTCTTTAGTTGACTAAATCTTCTTGAGTAAGTATTAATATTTAATCTAGTTTGAGAAATGCATCCTCTAAACTCCAATTAACATAAAGCTCAGTTAATACTGAGTCTGCATCCTGCTTAATAAATTTAATGCAAGATTTCTGTCACCTCCAAGGCTTCTTCAAAGACATGGTTAAATAAACATGAGCTGTTTATTTTTTATGTCCAACATTGCAGCCACAGAAATTATTATTTAAAAAAAAAAAATAAAAAAAAAAAATATATATATATATATATATATATATATATATATATATATATATATATGAAGAGTTCAGATGCAAAAGCCTCTAAGTGCCATTTGAAATTTTCTTCTAGAATGATCATTTTTATCAAGCGTGTATATTTAAGTTCAGTGATTTCACTTAAATACCAATGAAGATTACCTATTAATTGTCATTTAAGTGAAATTACTGAACTGAAATATACAAGCTTGATAAAAATGATCATTCTAGAAGAAAATGTCAAATGGCACTTAGAGGCTTTTGCATCTGAACTCTTCATATATATATATATAGTAAAGACTCTGGTCGGGTCTGATAAAGGGGGAATTTGCATATCATAATTAATAATTGATAATTAATAATTATTCATACAGATTTGGATCAGACCGGTCTTACATATTAATTTATTAATTTTACCCATATGCATACATGTGCATCCCCGCAATTAACCACAAATTAATTGTTATTAATTGCAATGACCACGTTTTACAAGACAGGCAAAATCAATTAGCTCAATCAAGTTATAGAGCTTGTGAAGACAAATTCTGTGGCCACAAGAATTTGCCTCCCCTGCTCCATAAACAAATACCCTTTCAGGTATTTTTAGTTACAGCCAGCAGCATTTTAAATCGGCATTTCATTGACTTGTACCATGAGCGAGACAGTGATTCAGTCAGACATGTTCATAAGTGTATTTAATAAAGCAACTACTTAAACATTTACTACGTTACAATGATACAGGTATTTACAAACATTAAAACACAAAATAAGACGACGCAGAGCGTTTAGACAATGGATACGCGTAAGTTAAGCGAGTTGGAGAGAGAGAGAAAGTGAGAGAGAGTGAAATACGTTCACCAAACAGTCAGTTAACCTTTCTGAACACCACGAAAACACTTTCTTAATGCTTCTTAGAAGCTCTAAAAGAAGGTATACTTGCAGGGCATATTTGGTCTGTGTGAGTCGCGGGCTCGTTGCTCGGCCCGTTCGGGCCACGTGTCGACTGGAAGTGCTGTCCTGCATGCGTGCGTCACGTGGAGCGCGGCCGCAGCGTGTTTGCGCGGCCCTTCCCAGCGCGTGCATGGTCGGTTGCTTCAAGCAACTTGCTTGCGCGTGCATGGCTCCTTTGTTCCGTGGGGAGTCACGTGGCGTTCGTTGGCATTCAGCGCGAGTGTTTGAAAGGCTTAAAGTCTTTGAGGTGACGTTACCCGAGGAAATAGTTCGGCGAAGTCCACTTCCTTTCCTGGGAGACGAACTTGGTAGTCCATTTGAGGAAAAGACGAAACTTTTAGACGAACAAAAGGAAAGATCCACGGTTGGATCAGAGTCCCGTGAGGTTTACATGCTGAAGGAGCGCTGGAAAGTTCAGAAGAGAATGGGCGGAGCCGGCGTGCTCCTTTTATCTCCTTGGCGAAATCCATCCCCTTCCTGTTGGCTTGAGCCAATCGGGGAGATGGACGTTGCACGCGGGAACTCTTGGTTTATTGTCCTTTGTGCCTCAGCGCGCGCTCCTCGTGGAAGGGGGTGTGTTCAATGAGGGTTTTATAGTAAACAATTTGATCTTCATTGGCAGTAAAACAAATCAAAAATACACTTTACTTTACATCTCTATGCATATTCAAGTGTTTCATTCAATAAGCAATCTAGAGATATCAAGGAACATTATGTGGAAGACACATATACATAAAAAAACATTAAAAAAACATTTTGTTGAATGCCTTTAAACACCAAAAGTCCTTATCTTTGTTCAGAGACATTCCACAAATTGCGATGTGTGGGGGAAGGGAAGGGCTTGTGTGTGCTTGTGTGTGTTTCAGAAAACCCCTGGGGGTGGGGGGCTCGTGTGTATTACCTAGCCAGAAGTCCTTACAATATATATATATATATATATATATATATATATATTTCTGTGTAAAGTTATGAACCTTCTTTTTTTTAAATGACATTTTAAAACTATATTTGACACAATATTAAAAACAGATATATTTGACACAATATTAAAAACAGATATAGCAATTAAATTGATATACTACTACATCTACTACTACTACCACTACTACTACTACTAATATTTTATTATTACTCCTTAAATTGCATCTCTTATGTTCTTTACTGTCTGTCAACAGCAATAATCAGTGGGTAATTGTGGGAGAGGCAGCAAGAGTTGTATCTTTGTATCGTTGTAAGTTTTGTTCATTGAGACTAATTGATGTCCTCTCTGCAGTTTCACAGGGACTCCCTAATAAATGAACACTGGTGGCTTCTATTTGTTGGCTGTTACCTTTAGTGTGCTAATGACAAAATTTGCATGGTTGTTTTAAGAAAGAAAGGACAAAGTGTAGAGAGGCCTAGATATTGTCAGAGAAACAAATCATCAGTCTTTATTTATTGCTTCATGTGCTCTTTTGAGTTACATTCCTTTATCCTTACCCTCCCCATCACCTCTATCTTCTCAGATAATATTCAGAAAAAAATTAAATATTTGTTTAGTTTTTTAATCTTTTCTCTTATATGGCCTCTAGGATGCTGCAGGAAAGGTTCTGGACAGATGGACAATAATGTCCCGGGAAGAGGAGATCATCACTCTACAACAGTTTCTGCGCTTTGGTGAAACCAAGTCTATTGTGGAATTGATGGCCATCCAGGAAAAGGAGGGTCAGGCAATTACAGTGCCCTCATCAAAGACTGACTCTGGCATCAGAAATTTTATTGAAAACAACAATCGAACACGTAGCCCTGGCCTTCTGTCGCACCTAGAGAACAACAGCCCCTCTAGTATTCACCATTTTGAGAACATTCCAAACAGTCTGGCCTTCTTGCTGCCATTCCAGTATATCAACCCAGTATCAGCCCCCATGTTAGGTCTGCCACCAAATGGACTGAACATTGAGCAATCAAGTCTCAGAATGCGAGAGCCAAATCTGCCCAATCAGAGTGAGCAGGTGGAGACCAGTGAATCTGAAGTGTCCCTCTCACCGTTTCGTAGTGGTCAGAGCCCAAGTCGTGGAGCAATAGGGACCTTACCCAACGCCATTGAACCTAAAATAGAACCCAACAGATCTTCACCCATTTCTCCAACACCATCTACACAGCAGTCACAGCAACCACATACACCAACACAGCAACAGGGGCAGCAACAGTCAACCTCTCTGAACAACCACCAGATCCATCACCATTTTGAAAAGAATGAACAATCGAAAACCATTACACACTCTTCTTTCTCTTCCAAAATGCATCGCATGCGTCGAATGGGTACAACCTCACGTAAGGGTCGTGTTTGCTGCAACTCCTGTGGCAAGACTTTCTATGATAAGGGCACTCTAAAAATCCATTACAATGCTGTACATCTGAAGATTAAACACCGTTGTACTATTGAAGGCTGCAATATGGTCTTCAGCTCTTTGAGAAGTCGTAACCGCCATAGTGCTAATCCCAATCCTCGCCTGCATATGCCTATGCTAAGGAACAACCGGGACAAGGACCTCATTCGCTCCAGTTCTGGGACTGCCACACCCGTCATATCAAGTGCCAAAAGTGGCTTCAATATAACTAGCCCAGGGCGGCCACCACTAAGTTTTGCCACCCCTCCTCTTGACCCCATGATACATTCACCTCTGCAGAGCCCTCTTGTCTTCCCTTCCCTGAAGTCTGTGCAGCCAGTGCAACCTGTGCCACCCTTTTATCGCACATTGCTCTCACCTGCTGAGCTAGTTAGTCCTCCAGTCTCTCTGCCTACCAGTCCAATTTTGCCTACCACAATCAACAGCACATCTTTGACGGATCAGCAACAGATGTTAGCGGCTAGCTCCCACAACATGGATGTATCTGAAACATCAACATTTTCTCATCACCTACCCACAACTCCCAGTACCCAAGATTCCATGACTCTCGACCCAATGCCTAAAAAGAAGCCTCGTAAATCCAGTATGCCAGTAAAGATAGAGAAAGAAGTGATAGATGTGGCAGATGATTATGATGACAAAGATGATGATGATGAAGATAGTTGTCACCATCACCACCATCAGCCACCCAACATCCATAATAATGTCAATGGCAATGGCAACTGCAACAACAACAATAACAGCAGCAGCAGCAGTCATCATTGTGGGGGTAGCAGACATCAGTCTCCATCACAGAATGAAATGAGTCCCAGTCTAGCCCTTAGAGGCATGCTCCATCCTGACCAAGAAGAGTGTGTTGGGAATCATGGTGGTAGAAGTCATGGCGACCTGCGCTGTATTGACAGTTTTACCTCTGAGGACCAAGATCATGAGCGTGACTTTGAAAATGAGTCAGAAACATCTGAATCTAAAATGTTCTACCGGGAGGAGCTGATGGAGACTGAAGAACATCAGCCTGCCCTAGAGAGAAATTTTGATAAGGAATACCAGGGGGTAAAAAAAGATTTGGAGGAACAAAGACATTCCCCACCTTCACAACACCAGCCTGTTATCAAAATCAAAGAAGAGATCAATGATCCTACTTATGACATGTTTTGTATGGGTCAATATAGCCTTTACAATGGGGGTATGGCAGCAGCTGCTGCCGCTGCTGCCAGCATGGCTGCCTTACATGAAAGTTTCATCTCATCAATGAGCTATGGAACAAGCCCACCGAAGTTCCCCTCCCAGTCCCCTGAGGATGATCTCTGCACTAGTCCTGATCCCAAGATCTGCTACGTCTGCAAAAAGAGCTTTAAAAGTTCATACAGTGTTAAATTGCACTACAAGAATGTGCACCTAAAAGAGATGCATGTGTGTACTGTGGCTGGATGCAACGCTGCTTTCCCCTCCCGACGGAGCAGAGATAGGTGAGACAAATCACTTTTTATTTTCCACTAAAATCAAACTGATGTATGATGATATCTGGCAAACTTAAATAGATGGTTTTGATGTATATATTTAGTAAAACTATATATATATATACATATTGTTTTACAAAATATATACAAAAAAAGTTATCATGACCTCAATCTTTAATTTTATACATTTCATAAAGATATTATATGTGGGGAACCTGTTTAATCTTCTTCATTCTTGCAAGTTTGAGGGGGACGAATAGAAAAAAAGATGTTAACAAATTATGCTTTAACAGGAAGAATGTGTTGATTGTACATTTCTGCAGACACTTATTTAATGCATTAATGTGCTGTTTACCTGTACTTGCTCACCTGTCACACACAGGTAGACATGCATACATTAGCAGAGGCTGCAGATTGTCAAACCACTGCATTCATTATCGCATCAGAAGGTGCAGGTTTCTCTGACTGCTAGTTAACACATTTACCATAAACAGTCCCAGATACATTTATGCTAGAGAGAAAAAAAAAGGTTCTTCAGTGAAATGTAGACTTTCCAAAGCTAGTTGTTTTGGCTCTACAAGTAAAGTGCATTCTGTGATGCTATTAAATTCATTAGTGACATAAAACTCACTACTAAGATTATTCAGCAGAAAGTTACACAAATTGGTTTCATTTAGTGGCCGTTTTACATACTCATACCGTAGAGATCAATGCATGCAGTCTTTAAAACTGCTCCATTTCAAGGAAGTACATAAAGAGTTAAAAAATATATCTGTATCAAAATACGGAAATATGAAAAAAGCTTGATAGACATGCACATTCAATTATTAATCCATCTCCAGACCAACATTCACCATTTTGTGAGACAAAAGCATCTATCCTTATTTTGTTGCCAGAGGAGCAGTGCATGTCAGAAAGAGCCCTCTAGACAGTCAAGCACTCTAAAGAGAGAAAAAATAGACCTCATCCATCTCATTCACTCCAGAGGAAGGACAGATAAGAGTCTGTCTCTTCTCACACTCTCTGGTCACAAGATTTGGTGACAGTTTTATTTAGATAACAAATGATTGGAGTCATGTTAATGTGTGTGTGTTTGTGTGTGTGTGTGGGGGTGTGGGGGTGGGGTTGTTTCCCCCCAATGTGAGGCAGCAGTTGTGTAGAGGGCAAAGGTTTGGGTGAATAGGGAGCCCTAGATGGCTAGAGAAACTGAATGCTCCAGGCAGAGCAGTCCTGCAAATAAGCTGATATAATAATTATGCCATACCCTCTGTATAATTAAAAACACTGTTTTTTTTTTACTGTTTTACAATAATTTACAAATAATAGTTTTAGTAATTTACTAGAACACTACTTTATAAACTCACATTAAACATATTATCTATCAACATATTTAAAATGTATGCATCACAAACTTGAATGAATTTAAAAAAAAATGAAGAATATCAGTCTGAACATAGATGACTTTAAAATTCAAATAACAAATGCTAATGTGTCATCTAAATTCAGTGTTAAAAGACTTCTCCACACTGACTTTTAAATGAGCTCTTGACATCTCTGAGTAGGAAGTCAGTTTGATAAATTGCATCCTGTTCAGTTATCTCAAACAAGTATCCATCTCCCATTTAAAATGAATAAACATTGGCTTGATCATTCAATTATGATTAAAAAAAAAAGAGTGTATAAGGGATGTGGCCGAATATTACTACAACTGGTACACAACATTTGATGTTGTTGTTTGTGACAAATATGAAGAAAATAAGCCTGTAATTGAATAGCATTGCATGTTACATAATATTTTTTTTCTTCAGCATGAGTTACATGAATGCAAATGATTGCATATTTTTTGTAAGGGGTAAGCAGGAGGAGAGAAGCAGTGTGATTGATTGCTGGAAACACACACACACATCTCTCAATCATTGTTTTTCTTTTTGAATGTATGAATGTATGTGTGTATGTATGTATTCATTCATTCATTCATTCATGCATTCATTCTAATGTTTTCCTCACTTGCTGATTGGTGATGACCCTGAGAGTTAGCCTGGCTCCAGATTCCAATGGTGTGCTAATATTCGGTCTACAGACTCACACAAGCCAGCTATGGTTAGGGAGAGTGAAGGTTAATTATATCTTACCATTCCTCTCCTCTCTTCCTGTGGCGTTGAGACATGATGTCAGGCTTAGATAATTCAGCTATCGAAACTATGACAAAACTTTCTCATTTGCGTTTAAACATTATTAGCTACTGTGATGATGGCCTTGACATAGAGAGAGTGATCTGATATTTAGCTGCCCACTGCACATTAGAGGAACAGATAAAGACAAAAACAAAGCACCTCATCATCTAATGTGACTCTCTTTCACTTTGAAATTGAGTATTACAACTCATTTCACAAATGTGCACACTTGGCAGGAACTGAAAGGGCCATCAAATCCTAAAGATGATTAACATTCTTAGGAAAAGACACATTAAGAGCCATACCTCTCTCCTCCTCTGCAGAAAAAAAAGGATTCTCAGGAGAGGCTGCTTCAAGCTTTGAGCAAATTGGTTTGGCTGTTACAATAAAGGTCGGAAGGGAGGGATAGAGAGCTGAGGAGGTTGTTGGGGGATGGAGGTGGGGACTGAGCGGCAGGCATAACTTCGTTGTGCCCTAAAATGAGGTTGCAGGGGAGAAGTAAATGAGGAAGAAAGGCTTAAGCTGATAAATGAAAGGGTAGACTCAATCATGGAGTGTTAGGGCTTGGGCTTAGTGTTTAACTGTTCTTAGTAAAAATAAACAAAATACATTAAAGTGAAATGTACTGCTTGCTTGGTTCCATTAAATCTCTCTCTCTCTCTCTCTCTCTCTCTCTCTCTCTCTCTCTCTCTCTCTCTCTCTCTCTCTCTCTCTCTCTCTCTCTCTCTCTCTCCGTGTGTGTGTGTGTGTGTTGTGGTTTGACCTATATCAGGGGTAAACAAGTTCGCTGTCCTGCAGACTTTGGCTACAAAACTAATCAAACACGCCTGAACAAGCTAATCAATGTCTTTAGGATTACTAGGCTACAGGCAGGTGTTGGTTTGTTCAGGGTAGGAGCCAAACTCTACAGGACAGTGGCTCTCTAGGAACCAACTTGCCTATTCCTGACCTACATTATAAGGGCCCAAAGTTACACCCATTGTGGTATGTATTTAGGTTTTATGCCACGCCCATTCCATATATATATATATATATATATATAAACGTCACTGAATGCCACATAACAGATTTGATTTGACTGGATAGTTGAAATATCATTATCATTATCTTTAGTTTACAAGGAGCAAAAAGCTATGTGAATAGGTATAATATTTATGAGTGATAAATAATTGCTTTAGAAATTTGGCACTGAAACTTGAGTCCCTGAGGGAAGTGTTCCCTTTAGCCCTGGGAACTCCAACGTGTCGTCGGAGAGTTCCCTGACAAATTGGGATCACGCTAGGGACCCTATTGCCTTCGAGAGAATTATAATTGAGCCAATAACATTGGCATGAAAAATTTGCATTCCACGAGCCTCCTACCAGTGCGGGTATAAAAGGCGGAAGTAAACATTGCATGACACTTTTTTCTATGGAGCCTCACAGTTTCTACTGCTGTTCCTGGCTGAAGAGAGATTAAGAAAAAGCAACGAGTACCTCAGGGAGAGAGAGAAGATCTTCTGGTTGGTGGTGTGACAGCGCTTCAGCAGTTTGCAGTTTTGCCGCGTCGATCCTTGGGTGCTTTGGCACATCAGAGCACTTTCCATCCCTTAAAAGAGCTTCACGGGTGAGCGTCCTTTTCAGTATGTCGTCTCACCCGTGCGTTTCTGGATGTGGTCGACTTCTCCCTCAGGTAGATGGCCACAAACACTGTCTCTCGTGCCTGGGCTTAGCGCACGCTGAGGCAGCGTTTGTGGATAAGTCAAATTGTCATTGCGGGAATATGACTCTCACAATGCTGTGCTCGAGACTGAGAACCCTGAAACATCCCTTCAGATAATCCCTGATCTAGTTCGTCTGCTGGTTCAGTTCAGCAGTCGGCTACTCCGGTGATTCCTGTTGGTGAGCGAATGAGGATTACCGTGAAGAACCCTATGGTGACCAGACGGAAACAACCTCGCTCCTCCTTCCTCAACACCCTGGTGGCGCACGGGTACGAGGGAATCCCCCCAGTGGAGCGGTCTATTGCGATGCAGTTGTGTCCAAAGACCTCTTCCGGAGGCAGGGCCTCGTGGCTCGTCCCCCCCCCCCCCCCCCCCCTCGCCACGGGGCAGCCTGCAGCAGAAAACCCATGGGCTTTCCCTAATCCTGGACCTCCGAATTTTGAATCGTGCCCTGCACAAACTCCCGTTCAAAATGCTCACGCAGAAGCGCATTTTCTAATTGTCGCGCCACGTCTTCACGAAAGTCGCGGAGACGGCCATCGTTCCCATGAGTGATCAAGGCGTTAACATTCTCAACTATCTCGACAACTGGCTCATTCTGGCCTACTCACGAGATGTGTTGTGCGATCACAGGGACATGGTGCTATGGCACCTCAGCCGGTTGGGACTTCAGGTCAACTGGGACAAGAGCAAACTATGCCCCGTGCAGAGGATCTCTTATCTTGGTATGGAGTTGGACTTGGTCGCCCAGACGGCGCCTCATGGAGGAACGTGTCCAGTGAGTGCTCACCTGCCTCAGGTCCTTTCAAGGCAGATCAGTGGTTTCACTGAAACAATTTCAGAGGCTCCTGGGGCATATGGCAGCCGCAGTAATGCCGCTCGGCCTGTTACATATGAGACTGCTTCAGCACTGGCTACACGATCGATTCCCGAGGTGGGCGCGGCAGAATGGCATGTTCTGGCTCAAAGTAACTCCGCACTGTCACCAAACCTTCTCCTCATGGTAAGATCCTGTGTTTTTTTGGGCCGGAGTGCCCCTAGTCCAGGTTTCCAGGTTTACATGCTGTGGTTTTCACAGACGCTTCTGCCATGGGGTGGGGGGCCAAGTACAAAGGGCATGCAGTCTTTGGTTT